TCAAAGTTTCTTTGTAATAATTCATGAAGAGTGTGGCATTTCGAATTCCTAAGTGAAAACAATTTTGAGGTGATGAATTTTGACATTTTAATGGTTACATGGATCAGCTTTCGGTCGTTTCAAAAGCTAAAAGTGCCGAAGATATATTACTTGATGCAACAACAATACCATTGATAAGAGTTAAAGGCAAGTATAATTGCAAAAGCATTACAATAAGCAAATTGTTTCATGTTGTGATCGATGCATTTCAGAACTAAATGAAAGTTCAAAGCCTATTTTGGACTCGTAAGATTTCTTCTCTTTCTATCAGACAATAACTATAATATTTTTATTACTTTACTTTTAGACTTCCACCAGGAAATTGTCAGGCATTAGTCGCAATTATTGAACAACAAGCGAACTCAATCGAGCACCAAGTTGCTATGACACGTAATATTTTACAAATGAGTATGGAAACTGTTTCAGCAATGTGGAAACAGCAACAAGCTCAAAGTATGTTAATAGAAAAAGAATTTATGAGTGTTAAGTGAAGTTTCTTCTCTAGAACAACTTAGAGTAGTATTCTGAATTTTCAACTGTTTTAAAAATTTTCAAAAAATTAAAAGTATTAGAATTCTTTCTCTCTTTAACAGGAATCTGTGAAAATAATATGCAACCTCCAACTTCTGCTCCAATAACATCCAACACTGTCTCAGCTGAAAAGCTGCCTTATGATTTTACACCTCCGCATAAACTCTGGTGTCCTTGGAAAAGTGACTGTACTCAGATTCTGAATCAACGAGGACAAATGACTATTGAAATGGATCAACATATGAACCAAATGAATGATATACCAGTAGAACAGCAAACACCGCTACCATTCGAACTTCATATGTCTATTAGTGAAAAGCCGGAAAATACAAGCTATATTCTTCACTTCTCTATCAATGATCACGATGTGTCTATCTATAAAACAATTCGTGGTAGTACTACTTTTATGAATCAAACGACAGATGAAGATTATGTTTTACACAAAGGAAAAGGTATATTGTTAACATTATGAATAAAAAGCTATGGATCTTTATCATTGATTCTTAATTGTAGGTAAATATTGGTTGAGTATTGATTATGATAATTTATTCATTAAGTATGGTCAAGGCGAAGTACGCGACCGATGTACATTACTCAAAAGTGATATTCCTAATATTGAAAGAGACTATGTAAGGAAAATTCAATATGCTCATATTTCGTTTAATAGAAGTCGTGATTTGACTCAAGTGAAAATGTTTGAACAAAACGTCAAGCTAAAAATTGGCCGAAACCCCGTTGTCGATGATCCGGCATTGATCGTCGTTACACCAAATCAGTACACTTTAGATCATATCCGAAACAATAATGCTTTACCAATTACACGATTGAATTCTCATTGTCAAAATCTTTATTACGACGTTATTAATTGGAAATTTCAAGATGAGAGTTTTCCCCACTTTTACGAAGCCATCGAACATAGTAGTCGTAATCCGACTGGTTGGTGTTGTAAAAGATTATTGGAAAAATCAAATCGATTCGGACAACCGAACATTCTAGCTACTTATTTAAGAATAACTATTGGTCGAAATCGTGGTACTTCACCAGGTGTTCCATACGTGCTTGAAATTTGGCCACCAGGTCATTACAGTCCTATTCATGCTCATGCCAATACTCATGGCATTATTCGCGTATTGTATGGAGAAATTAACGTAAAAATTTATCGATCATTAAGCTTGAAAAAGAAGAAACCCATTCATGAAACAAAAGTCCATGAAAACCAAGTGACTTGGCTTTCGCCTGGTTTGAATCAAATACACCAACTAGAAAACAAATCGAATAAAACATGTATTACAATACAAGCATATGAATATGTAACAGATGAAGTCAGTAATTATGAATATTTCGACTATATTACAAATGATGGAGAATCTATCCGTTCATTCGATCCTGTCTCAGACATTAATTTCTTCGATTTTCAAAATCTAATGAAGGATGAATGGAACAGTATGAATGAATAATTAACACAAAAAAGTATTCATTCTAACTTTTTGCTCATTCATCACTTAGAGATTATCATGACATCTCTACTGTAGCATGCTGGTCTTTCACTTTTAAAAGAAAATTAATTAATCATGCTAAATAAAATTGTTGAAATAAGACTACTACAGTTAGGTGTAAATACGATGGAATTATTTATCAATTTATTTGAACTAGAAGGATGAAGATGGGTGGAAGCGTAGGCCCAAAGGCACAGAAATATACCCTTCCCCCATCCACACACACACTCTTTAAAATATAAAGATGCAGTTATAGATTTGTATTCAAATAAAAATAAGAATAAATATATAACTCAAGTCTAAAAGAAGTACTGATTCAGTTAATTTCATTTATTTTATTAAAAATGTTATCCATGATCATTATTCAAGAAGGGATCTCTTTACAAACAGATGCACAATATATGTTAAGAATGTTTTAAAATAAGAGTGATATGAAATTTCGATAAAATCACATTTCTTGTTACCTGTCGCTCGATGCTCAAGGATTTGTCGGCGTAGTGATTGAATTATTTCTATTCAGTAATTTATATTAAAATTGTGATAATTTACATATCTGAAAATATGTTTTCCTTGATAATTATTTTATATTTGCCCATATTCTTAACGAAAATTCTTCAAATTTTCATATATAAAATCCATGCTAAGGAAGGACAAGTACTAAGAATATTATCGACTAAGTAATCGATACAACTAGTTGAGTTATACTACTATGATTGAATGACAAAAAAAATCATAAAAGCTTTACTATTTTTATCAGTGAGATTAATTAAAAGATTACTTGTAACATAATATGTTCATCGATTAGCATTAAAAGAAAAAACTAAGAATAAAATTGTAAGACGATGGTTTGCTATTATCCGAAAAAATAAATGTTGAAGTAAGGCTTTTATTTTACATTCAATTGGAATCGAAGTTAATTTTTCTATAAAAACTAACTTGTGAATGTCAAGTATTGTTTACTGTTTCCAATGAAATGATGATGGTAATGATTATTTCATGATAATAAATGCTACTGAGTATATGATATCAGAGATATACTATTTTTGATAATATTAAATCATCATTCTGATTTATCTTGCTTCGCATTAACTGTCTAACTGGAGATTTTAGAGAAATATCTTTAGTATTTAATGATAGAAATCATGCAAAGGTTTGTTTTAAGCGAGTTATATTGTAAAAATATTTTTTTTTTTAAATATAGTTGATAACCGTCCTAAAGAGAACCGTTTTAAATTACTCGCAAACAAATCTTCTTCATCAAACACTTAGCTAAAAGGAAGTAATAAAAAACATATTATGATGGGAAAATATCGACGTTAGCCTGTGTCAGACATTACTATTGATGTGTTGAAAAGTAATAATAACAGATATTTTCCTATATATTATTTTTTCCAGACAATAAGCTAATAAGGAATACGATACAAGAATATCGAGGTCATAATATTAACGAAAGAATTCAAGATCAAAGAAGCATTTGGTAATCGAAGAAGAAAAATAACCAGTAACAAGACTTGTTGATTTGGCACTATTCGAAAGAAAAATTACTATCTATCATTATTCATCTAAAAAATTGCATCAAAGTAATTCTGTCTTATGCAAAGTTTCTCAAATATCTAGATGCTTGCATAGATCTTTATCATAATTTCTTTTTCATCAGAATTGATGACCTTGACATAAATGTAAAGAGAAAAAGTAGCAATAATTGTATCTAATACATAGGAGTGTACATAACATCTACAAGTATATATTTACTAAATAGAGTTATTTTTGAAATATCGAACAACTTCGTCATCATAATTTCAAAATATCGATATCAGTAATTTTCAAAGATACAATGTTACATTCGACTATTTCGGTGTTAAGATTTCTTGTCTTAACATTGAGTCTCTATTGTTTACTTATTTCTACAGGTAAATAAAATTGTATAGTATTCTTATGCATTTGATTCCAATGAAAATTTTGCCTTGTTTATGAAGATTGATCGATTGTTTGATTTGCAAAACTATAACTATCATCTTACTCATCAATCACTAAAAGAATTTTTATTTATTTATTTTCTATAATAACATACACAAACTGTCAATGAATTATATAGTTTAATAGTAGAAATAAAGTATGATGATTATTTGTTTCTATCTCTATGCTTTATGTTTCTTCTTTAACCCTTAGAATATCGTATCTAAAAAAATAATCCTTAGATCATCAAAGATTTATTGTCCAAATCGAACAATATGACTATGTAAAATTTTTCCATTTTTCAGACGAAGTATAAGCACACTTGTTTAGGCACTATGATGTATCATGTAACAATCATAAGTTATCATATGATTGACATAAATTAAGTAAAAACTAGGATGAATCGTTTGATAAAGAATCAGATTAATTTGTGTAAGGAAATTTAACATCGTCTTGAATAAATGTTTGAACTGTTAAATGCTATTTTATGTCATTTTTATCTTTTTTTAATTTAATAAACTATTACAAATCTTACATATATTTAAGAATATTGGAGAAGTGAAGACAATCATAATGAAAAATATCAAAGATTTCTTAAATATATGACAGTAAGGGATACTTACAAGGAAGTACTACATATATGAGAACAATTATTTTATTCGAAAAGCATTCCTCAATTTTATATCAAACAATAATTTCATCACATTATGTACACGCATTCTTGTCATGTGTATATTAACGAATCCATGACACATGCTTCCCTGACAGTTGCTTCTTAGCGATATTTGCATCCCAGGATGTTTCAAAGCTCCAATTCGAACTAAAATTCAGTCTCTACCTGTCCCATCCTCATTTTTACAGGGAGCAACTGTTCGAAGAAAATGAATCGTGTTACCATATTGAGATATTAAAAATTTGCAATGATATCTTTATTTTGTTGCACGAAATAGTATGATTATTGTTTTAGATACCTAGATTATTGGTTTTCATACTTTATTTTTGTGTTGCATTAGTTTCTTAAATCATAAGCGCTATTTATTGACGCTTTTTCTTATAAATAAGATTAGTTTTGAGACATCCATACTCATTAAACTGAATTTTTTCTAATATGCTGAATATTTTTTCTACACAGAAAATGTTGAATTTATAATGCATATGAACTTATAATATAGCTGAATACTTTTCTATAAATAATCCTATCATTGTAGATTATCAAAATTTATTTAAAGAAAAATCTATGATTTTCTCTGTATTTTTACATATGCTCAATAAAATCCTGCTTAATCCATACATGAAAATTATGTTAAAGTTAGAAGTCTATGAGATGTCTCCAGAATAAAGAAAATGATTAATAAAACTTCATTTATATGCCGACGATCTGATTCTAACTGCTTTCATTTCAACAAAATGATTACTTGTCGTGATTTATTGTACTTTCTCTGGAGGATCATTAGGATAGCATACATGAGCAGAGATAAATATTATTCTTTAACTTTTTTCCAATAGATATTTTCTAAATTAAATCATTAATCTTTTAAAATGTATGATGTATACATATAACTATTTAGAGACTATTAGGAATTCGATGCAATCTTTTGATTTCATCAGGTTTTATAAATACTACATTAAAAATAACAACTTTTTGGTAAAGTCTTCTTTTTGAATTTAATTAAACTAAATAAATGATTTGATTTGAAATTCATATCTCCTCTAAAAAATCAAATGGCATTCAAGATCTAATGGAAATATGAATGAAGTATGAAAATTAAGAGCATCACATTGACATTAATCTATCATCAATAAGTGAATGGGCTTTTTTTGAGTTTAATTAGTTATTCAGAGAACATAATAGATTATTTCATCTATAATCTTTGTCAGATTTCTTATAATTAGTTAAATCTTTAAATGATACAAAATTATCAGTATGTACAATTCTTTCTCAGGTCAAAGGTGAAGAATCGATTAGACTTTTTATAGAATACAGAGAACTGTTCAAAAATTTCTTCAACTTTTATAGTTTCTGAACTTCTTATAAGTTTCTATTACTTCCATTCAGAACTAGTCAGGTAACAGTGAGTTATCGTCGTCATTGACGATGTTTCTATCTACTTTAATAGAAAATTTCTGTAGTCGAAATAATTTCGATCGAAAAATGAAGTATATTGTATGGTGAGACTGACTAAGGAAAGTAATTCCACAAATGCAAAAAATATTTTTCAGGCATGATAAAATTTTATTCACTTTCTTGAAATAGACTATAGTTATCTGCAAAAGAAAAGTAACGACATTTTCTCGTTGAATCACCAGAGATGTGACATAAATAGTCTACTTTGATCTGAGTGTGAATGAATTAATGTTTTGTATTTATTTGCTCAGTATTGATGACTACAATACAATGATCAAAAACAAAGATTAATTGGTCGCGTAATGATTTAAGACCTATTTCTCTTGATCATTATCAACAGTGTATTAGAATTTTGTTTTATTATTCGGAAGTGTTTTGGAAGCAAAAGAATTGCCTAAGAAATCAGACAAAAAGTGTTTGTCTTTGTATTTTGAAATTTCTTTCAACGCATATGTTCCAATAGTAAAACGATCAACTAAGTTATTCAAAATCATGATTTACACTCGAATAAAAACTTCATCATTATATCAGTCTATATGATTATTTTTCAGGCTTCTTTTTGAAATGTAATAAACTTTAAGATGCATTTTGAATAAATAAAAGTTCTATACGATACTGTCGAGTCTTTATTATCATTTGATTATACAGAGTATCATATATCAATAGAAATTCGTTTAAAGAAAGTGTAACTTACCATTGCTAGATACAGACACAGATTTCTCAATATGTTACATTGCAAACTAAGTTCAGATAAACTATTTTTTAGTTCACTATTTAATACTAAAATACAATTGTGATTGGTCTTTCGGAGAGATCAATTGAATAAATAATGCACATGTTACCTGATAGTAAAACTATGTTCACTAATGGATTTTTTCGATGTTTAATATTCAACAAGGAAAATATTTAGCTTTTTCGAGATAAAACGGATATGAGTTGAAAAAAGTTCAATAACAACTAGTTCTGCATTTACCCACTGATTTTACGACAATCAGAATGTTATCATCTTGATAATGATCTCTTTCATTTTAGTATTAACTGATCATATTCAATGGAAGCAAAATTGGGCTTTCAGTTGTGACTTTCCTGGTAATGATTTCAAGGATGTTCAAATCTCTGGTGATAAATGCAATGCAGAATGCTCTAAAACATCATCATGTACTCATTTCGCTTGGGCTCAGTGGCAAGGTGGTACTTGTTGGCTTAAAAAAGGACTCATTTCTAAACGTGAAGCAATCAAAACTGATAATCCTACTGATATCTGTGGAGTATTAATTGACACAGAAACAAGTGATGCACCAGTACCAGGACCTCCAGGTAAGATTAAACCAAAGTGAAAGAACCACAGTAAAAATAAGGTATTTATACAAATGCACACATAACAACTTTGAGAAAAACATTAAAATGAGACTTGTAGAAATTTTAATGCATGAGGTTGTAGATATGCACAGTCCATTGTTCTTCAGTAGTACACAAATCCATCCTCGATTCATAATAATTTGAACAATCAATTTTATCTTACTGTACACTAAGATGCCTTCATTACATTTGTGTTCACAATGTGTTTTTTTGAGAATCTCATACTTTTCTATACGTATATCTTCATAGTGAATTTAAGCTAGGAAAAGATACGACCATTTTATTTTATTCAAATGTTTTTTGTCATAATGTACAGCTATTTATGCATGTATACTTCAAAAGAATATTGATAATATGAAACTATATCTCATCTATTCCTATTGATCTTCGTTTATGTATCATTTTATATGCATATAATTTGTTTGAAGTAATTGCTATATTAGTTGACTCTGTTGCTTCACTTTGACTATGGTCGATTTCATCGACTAAAATTTCAATTGATTAGAAATCAACTATTTTGCATTCGCAGAAGATTATTGAAGTACGTTCACAGTTAATCGTTGTATTTATCTTAATAGATACTGGGAAGAACTTTCTTTTGACCGATATGAATGACTTTTATGCTAAATGATATTGTCTTTCCTGGTCTCAATTTGAATTTCAAAATTGGATCAAAGCTTTACTAAGCAGGGCGCATGTATGCTTGAAACAATATTTTATAAAAAAAAAATTGAACTGGTTAGAAAATGTTACAGAAAAATTCTTGATTGTGTGCAGGTTATTTTTGCAGCAAAAATACGTTTTATTGATTTTTTTACAAGTTTTGATTTATATTCATAGTATATTTTGTGTTTTGGTTCATTTAGGTTCACCAGTAAGTAGTAGCATGCAACCAATTAGATGAAGGAGTTTATTGAGACTAAAATTTTTGTTTTGTTTTAGGGACCACGTGGACAAAAAGGTGATAAAGGTGAGTTAGATTAGTAGGATATACTCAAAAGATTTCATCTAAGGTCTTGTCTTCAAAAATTCTATGAGCAATGAGATGAGAACGATTAGAAGAACCAGATCAATGAATAAAAAACGCTTGTTGGTCCGGTTCATATTTAAACAATTTATTTGTTTTGTTTTTTTTCGATTTTAGGTGCTCCTGGACCACGAGGGAAGAAAGGAGAACCAGTTCGTATGAATATCAATCATTTTGATTGAACTGATAGTATTTCTTTCTTATAGGGACAACCAGATTCGAAATCAGCTTTTACTTGGTAATCAATTATTAAATGATAAGCTTGTTAATCTATTTACAAGTTTTTCAGTTCTTTACCTACGCAATTCAATGACTATGTATCTGAGATTAGAAATGAAGCCCAAATATTAAAAAAACATACACAAATTATCAAAGAACAATTGTCAATAGTAAATGCTTTTCGATCAAGTATAGAAAATCTGACCACAACATTGCAAAATATAGGAGGAAAATGTAGATGTTCTGATGACTTTTTCGAATACTACAGATTATCTTGTTCTTGTATTTAGATATAGCACCTACCAAAGATGATCCATCATCAACATCAACGATAAACAATATCAATATAACCATGATCGATTTTTTACCACCAACAAATATTTGGTGCCCTTGGCGAGCTCATAGTTGTACGCAAACGATTCCTCGACCTGGACAAATGACTATTGTCATGGATCAAAAGGCTTCATTACAATTTGAACTTTATCTATCAATCAGTAACGATCCAACAAATGAGAGCTATGCTATTCGTCTAACAGTCAGTAAGCAACAAGTACAAATTAACAAAATAGTTGATGGTCTGACGATCGTTCTAAACCAGACAGCTGACTCCGATCATGTTTTACAAGAAGAGAAAGGTACATAAAATCTGATCTAAAAAAGATAACCACAATAAATAAACATTTATATTTGCATCTTATTATTAGATCTTTATTGGTTTAGTATTGACTATGTGGCTTTGTCTGTAAAATATGGAAACGGTGAAGTACGAGATAAATGTACACTGTTGCGAAGCTTCGTTCCATTAATGGAAAAAAACTATCTTCGACAAATTCAATTTGTTCATGTATCATTCAAAGGTAGTCGAATATTGTCCAATTATAAGTGGTATGAATACAAGGTGATATTGAAAATTGGTTATTATCCTGTTGTTCTGGATCCACCATTATTGATTGTAGAACCTAGAAATGCAAGTCTTTCAATGCTTCTTGATAATTCTGCTATGCTTCTAACACGTTTAGAGGAGCCGTGTCAAAAATTATACAATGATATTATTAGTTGGAAATTTCAGGACGATGATTTTCCTTATTTTTTTAAAGCTATTGAACAAAGTATTGAACGAGAATCGGGTTGGTGTCATAAAAAATTGAAGGAGAAGTCGGATCGATTTGGAGTATCTAATATAAATGCTACATATTTAAGAATTACAATTACCATGAACAGAGGTACTTCACCCGGTGCTCCTTATGTTTTCGAAATCTGGCCACCTGGTCACTATAGCCCAATTCATTCTCATGCCAATACTTATGGCATTATTCGTGTCGTATACGGTACAATTAATGTAAAACTCTATCGAACATTCAATCCCAAACGAACAAAACCATTTCATGATACAACACTCTATACGGATCAAATTACTTGGCTTTCGCCTGGTTTAAATCAGATTCACAAACTAGAGAATCAATCACCTAATCAAACGTGCATCACCATTCAAGCGTACGAGTACCGTACCAATGAAGTTAATCCTTATGAATATTTCGATTTTATTGCTAACGATGGAATCAATATTGGAAAATTCGAACCTGTATCTGACATGGATTATGTGGAATTTCGAAATCTGATGAAGAAAGAATGGAATGATGAAATGTAACTTTTCTACACAATTTTTTTCTCAGTCGAACATAAATACATGAAGAATAATTTGATAAATGATATTCAGCAAACTGACTAAAATATATTTATGATTGCTAAATTCTATGAATATTATTCTACCTTTTTCTTTCTTTTTTATATTCAACGACATTATTCCTTAATAAAATTTTATTTGACTAAAGAGAAGCACAATGAAAGAAAGAAAATACTATTTTTATATGATTATTGGATAAAGTCATATTCAGACAAAGTCAGTATACTTAAATGGAAAGAAAATAAACGTGTTTCAACATGTGTAAATCGTGCATTTTAATGTATTATGAGTTTAAAACGAGTGTGTTTCGTTTTATACTTTAACATGTTTCTATTTTTAAATATGTGGTACTTGTACAGAACACAAACAACTCTAAATTAATATATAGTTGAAATATAACTTAGATAATTAGAAAACAGCCTAATATAAAATTATTATTCTCTACCAGATTTACTATCTTTATTTTAGTATTATATAAGGATATATATATATGCATATATCACTTATATGTACGTATAAGATCTATCATTCTTTGAAACTTGTCTAAGTATAATTCATACAAAAAAGTATTTTTAAAATTATTAAGTATTGGCACTCGGGTTATTTTGGACTTAAATTTTTATATAAACAAAGCAGAAAGAAAACTGATATAATTGACATCTAGGATTAGTTAATGTCAAGTACAAGAAAGACGGAAAAAAAATAAAACAACCTAAATCTTTAGACTCGCTAGTTGTTATTTATATAATACGGCAAGAAAAAATGGTATGCTTACGAATACATAAGAGGAAGGAATAATTCGATCGAGAAATCTATATTCTAAAAATATGTAGTTAGTATATAGTATATACGAATCAAACAAAGATACCCACATTTATTGTTATTCTATATCAATACATTCAATGAAAAATTTATGAATTTGACCTTCGAAAGCATATTATCTCATATATCTTAATAAAAATAATCAACAAAACTTATCAATTAATAAGAAATATAATAAATAATAAAATTAGAATTAAAAAAGTCTTGTATTAGCAAAATAAATATTTAAACATGATATTTTATGATACATTGATGTTTGGATTGTTGTATATAATGTCTTATTTGTTCAGCAATTCGTTCAGGTGTAAATTTCAACTTTCATTTCGTATAAATACCAAACATGTTAGTTTCGAGTTAGCAAAATAGATTTTAACATTCCTTAACTTTAGGTATTGAGTTTATTTAAAATAGACAAGTTCAATTAAATAAGAGAGCAATAAAGAACTGATACTGTAAGCTGATAACTAGCAACAAACAAAAAATAGTTTAAGCTTCTTATAATTAACTATTGTATTGAAATACGTCCAGTAGTGTAAACGAGCTTTTAATGGTAAAGTTGCAAGCAACAAAAAAAAAAAGAATGCAAAAAAATTGTAAAATTACAAGTTTGAACATATTCTTCAATTCAAAGTGAATTAAGGGTCTCTTGTTGATATACATATATGCACATGCTCATCTTTACTCTTTCTTATATAATTATCAATTCAATATGAAATTTTATGACTGACAAAACTGCACCAATAAATCGCATTTATTAAGAAAAATATTGAAAAAAGCTGCTTTGGAGTATAAACTTAAAATCTACTCTTATAAGAGACGTCATTTTGTTAAATATTACAGTTTTATAAAACTTTCACGAAGTTACCCTAAAAAAATCTATAGATACTAAAAGCCTAATTCGACACCTTCTATATAATATCTTTATAATATGCAACAGTTTTTATTCAAAAAAAATAGTTTATAGATCAACTTCCTTGATACATTTTTCTCTTTCCTTTAGGAAATTATCTAAATGAAACGTATCTCTTTCGTTATCAGTTCACAGAGCATGTAAGAATCATTGAAAACTTACATAACTATTATAAAAGTACTTTTTAAAAAAATGAATTACATTTACTAAATACTTTTTACCTTAAAACATGATCTTTAATCGAATCATCTATCTGTTTGACTAATTAAATAAAATATGATATTTTGAAATAACTAAGCCTTTTTATGTAACGGGAATATAAATGTTTTCTAGTTCTCTATGACTTTTGATTATTCCCTAGTTAATGTCATCGCTAGAACATTTCTACAGATACCGTTTATTATAACAATTGAGAATATAATTAGATTATATTGTTTTCAGTATTTATTTGCATTCTACTCTTCAATGTATATATGTGTCTTCGTTTCTATTAGCGAAATAGATAAGATCGTCACCTATACTTGATAATTATGACATCTTTCCTAATGAAAAATAGGTTTATCTAAATAGCTGTTCCTGAAAGAGAATGTACAGGATGAAAATACTTCATCTTACGATAAGCTTCCACAACTATAATAAATATCAATAGTGTGCCGAAGACATATCAAGATTACTTCAATAGTGCCAAAAGCGGCAAGTTCTAATAATATTTCTTTATTATATCTCTTGTATTCGATATTTAGTTCATCAGAATCACTTGAAAAATTATGAAGAAAATTAGATAAATACAATGTTTCAATACGAATATTTATAGTAATTTCGATGTTAATTAGCAGTTTATCAAATTCAAATTAATTGAAAGTTGAGTTTAGATCTAACTCATTTTCTTTGATTTTCAAGTTTCATCTATTCAATGTTAATCATAAATCAATTATCAAAATCCAATCTATCTGCTTACCACTAAACAAATGTCAAATAAACATTGAGAAAATAAAGACTTAAGATTATATGACCAGATTATCAATGTTTGTTTCACTTTTGAAATAACACTATGATTTATTTAACTCAAAACCAAGCTACACATCATTATCATTAAAGCTGAAATGTTTGAGGAAAATTCAGAAGATAAAGTCGTCCCATATGTATTTAAGATATTTTCGTATATGTAGATATTATTAACTTGATTTAGAACAAGTTTAGCATATGATTATAGGTCAAATGAATTTATGAGGTATTGTACCAGAAAAAAATAGAAGATATCAGACATAATTTGT